AGTTCCACAAAACATTTCAAATTTATTTTAAGTTAGGCTATATCCCAAAAGTCTGCCTACTTTTCCCTCAGTGAAAATAGTGTTTTCCAACGCAGTTTCCCATGTCTGTGCTTGTTAATCAAGTGCGAGAGATTAATGTTCATCCAGGTGTTGGAACGCTCCCCGAGCCTGTTTAAAGAAATTAAGACTTTCACCTCTGACACATGATGTCACAGCACCTCCTACACCGTCACTCCTCAGAGTGTCACTTGTTTGTTGTGTTGTGGCGAGGCACATTCAGACAGACATGACTCACCTCCACACCATGTTTACCATGGAGCTGGTGCACCTGACAGGGAGGCGGGGGTGGGTGGGGGGGTTTGACTCATGTGATGTGTTGCGTGAGGCGTGGAGTTGAGCTCAGGGCAAGCACAGGAAGAGGAGGGGGAGCACCTTTAAGCTGCAAGGAGGATGAGGCCACATGGTGGGAGGCATACAGTGAACCTGGATAATTGATCCTTGCCAGGGGCTGCGATTAGCTTTAGAGGCTGTCATATACATGTTAACATGCACAAAGACAATGGTTTAGTTTTCTATAATGTTTTTTAATAAACCATAATGTTTTTTGATGTTTTTGTGCATCATAGATAGAACACGCCCACATCACAAGTGTTAACTGAAAATAAGAATAAAAACTAACAGTACGACAAATCTGAATTCTGTGGACACTTCTCATCTTTAGCTTTAAATTCATTGAGAAATCTAATCTGTTGGACGTTGGAAAATATTCACTGAGGTAATTGATTTGAACAGAATATTTATACATACAGCAATCTTGAGGAGAAACCACACACTACCTAAGAAACTGTGATTTTTGTTCATACTGGCTGTTGATTGCCTCATAATGATCACCGGCTGCTCGTCACGCACATGTTCTTCTTCTGCAGCGACACGTGTCACAACAATGGCTTGACTTTGTGTGTGGAGGGGCGAGTTCCTCTGGCGGAACCAGGACCCTGCAGCCAATCCCTCGTTAAATAGCATTAAATCCAACCAATCCTTTTAGTCTGTCACCCTCGAGAGGATGAGGTGAGGCAGGGAGACATGTTCCTGTGGTCTGCTCTGCCTCTGCTGATGGGAGCATTAGCAGATCAACCTGATGCACCTGTAAGGGCCACTGCAAGCCTGACTACAGTGAAAATTACACAAAAATGAGTACCAATAATGACCTGAGAGAAATACACTTTAGTTTTTTTTTTAGATGTCATCCAAAATGAAAATTTGAGGAAATGAGAGAAAATAATTGTATCCAAGAAAACATGTAAAAACAACCAATAGTAAAAGTTATTCTTCACACTGACCATATTAACAAACATTATTAACATTATATATACATGGCTGTTCATTAACTTTTTATATCAGCAGAGAATGTGCTTTGCCACGCAGAAAAAAAAATGAAAAAAGAAAAAATGCCCTAAGTTACTAAAAACATGGTAATATTTAAATACTATTTATTATTATTATTTGTTTTATACAAAAAAATGGTTAAATGTAGTTCTTTAGTGACCCAAAACGCACAACTGCTAAACCTCTTTGTGTTTGCAGGAGCCACAGACGTTGTCACTGAAACAGGTCTATACATCCTTCCTTCCTTTTGTCTCGAAAGAGGGGGGGGGGGGCATCGCTCATTGCCCTTGGTGATGCTCTTTGTGCTCATGTGTGATGCCTCGTGCCTCAGCGAAGTATCACGTATCCTAAGTCTCCACTAATGTTGTCTTTAAGTATCAGACAGTGGGGCTCACTGTCAGATTAAGGCCTTCATCTGTTGGCTGCAGCTTCACCTCCGAACACCTCATTAAACTGCACTCAGTGAACCGACTTTTGAAAAACAAACAAAAAAAAAAAAAACATGTTTACTGTTAGACAGCAAATGGTTAAGAAATCAGTGCTGCTATAAAACTGGAACTTTAAGGCTTTTGCCTTTAATGGATAGGACAGTTGTTTTAGCGTGTAAGAAGGAGAAAGAGGGGGGTTGACATGTAGAAAAGGGCCATAGTTTGGACTTGAACCACTCCTGTGGCCACTGCAACAAGGCCCTACCAGGTGAGCTAATGTGCACCAGCTGTTTAATGCTGTCCCCCTGTTTATATGGATTCATTTACAGCCAAGTCTTGTCCTTTCCAATATGGCTGCAATGTTCATGTATAATGCAGCAGCCAATCATCATCATCATCATCATCATCATCATCATCATCAATGATCGTCATCTACGTTTATATCTACGGTCACTGCCTTGCACGACAGCTGGATTCTCACGATATCATGAGATCACGTGAGAATCTTGGTTTGCCAAGATCATACATAAATCCAGCTTGTCACGCTTTGAGTAGGCCTAATGCATATGTGTCAGTGTCTGGGATTGGAAGCAATCAGTATCTTATGAGGAGCTACTAGCAGACATGGTTTAGGTTTGTGAGGTGACTCAGAGAGGCAACTGTTGGTTAAAAAAAAACACAAAAGTGGCCGCAAAAGGGTTAGTATAGATGCTGCAATAGCATCAGTTATATCCAAACTCAAGAGTACTTCTTCATTGAAAGAAGAGCAAAGAACAGCAATGAAGCCTTTTCTTGATGGAAAAGATGTTTTCGCTCTTGTCCTGACTACTCCATGATAGCCAGTGATAGACAGATGAGTCATCCATTCCCCTGCCATGTAGCTGTTGTGTGTACCAAACCATATGGCACATCAGGTTAAGGCCAGCCACCAGGAAATGTGCCAGGCTTTGAAGCCATTTTTCATAGTGGCAAAACAGAGGAATTACATCCCTCGCATGAGGCCATGTTGCCTAAAAAATACTTTATTTCTATAGACTTACAAGGTATAAGATGTAAATCAGTAGATACTTTATTTTTCTGTGTGTGTCTCAACCCCCCCAAAATTGGTCCAATAACATTTGGAAAATCTAGAAGAGCTGCACAGTTGAATAATCTCAACTGTGTTAAGTCAAAGTAGCCAGCTCAGCCAATGGAAGTCTTGAGTGCACCAGCTCTATGGGCAACACAGTGTGGAAGCAGTGTGATCATCAACATCATTTTATAGGCAACTTTTTTGGCCTCATACACCACTGAGCAAGTGTCACAGGAATGAGCAAGGTTCGCCTCCAACGCTGTAACCTTGTCTCTTTATACATCTACATGAACCCCCATGAAATCTCATCATGTTGATTTTATACTTCTCTTCTTGTGCAAAAAACAGTCAAGACAACATTTTAATCAATGACATTGCTCTACACGTAGGTGTATTTTGTTACCTTTGTAAAGAGCCATGCTCGTTTCCCCTTGTTAACAGTCTTTATGCTAAGCTAAGCTAACGTGCTGCATCTTCATATTTGACATACAGACAGACTAGGGATTCTATAAAGCTTCTCATCTCTAAAGCAAGAATAGGAGTAAGTGTCTATATCTCAAAAGTGAATGTAATACAACAAAGTTTTATGCTTCGCCTCACTGAGTGTGAGTTGAGTACAACCAGTGCTGTCTTTTTTCTCAGGAGGAAAGTGTGCAGTGCTCAGCAGTTTAATGGGTGCTGTGGGTGTTTGAACTTGTGATAGCCTATGGAGATAAGGAGCTTAGAGGGAACAGCATCCTGTGTGTTCTTCTTGGCTTTCTAGCATCCTGCTCTCTGGCTGACCCATCAAACATGTAGCCTAGAAGACTCGCCATATGCTGTGACACAGATGAAAGCTTTTCAACTTCCTGGCTGAAAACATTTAAATAGATCAGCTCTGCTCACTTTCATTAACCAAACATATTGTAGCTGCAGTGTTCCTTGCCTTAAATATTCTAGAATCTGTTCCCCTCAGAAATGCGAATTGTATAAAACTTGATTTCTGTGACCGCTAACAAGCAACCAAGAGGAACAGAAATATGAAGTGTCTGTTCCTACTTTTTCCACTGACATGTTTGTATCAGTTCATGCTGCATATAGTCAGAAAACATTCATAAATTTGGCAGAATGATGTGATAATGCTGGGAAACTGACACTTCTGACTATATACATGCAGAGCTGGTGAGGAATAGGCTACTTCCCAGCAAGTATTTGACAGATGGGGATGTGCAAGTGGGCGAAGTTAAAGCTAAATCAGAACAACATGTCCACAATATTCTATCATTGAGTGGTAAATATATGTATAGGGAATATTCATAGAAACTCTTCTGAACTCATATCAGAAAGTCCTGGTATAATTAAACAGCACAGCTATAGGGACATTTACTTTTGGTTCTAGGTTCATCATCATTGCGCTAACATCCCTCTGAGATGATCCTTCCCCTAACTTTGTCTCCCCTCGCTGTACTGCCTTTAAATAGCCATTAAACATGCTGGCCAAGGGCGGACGGGCTATGCAACTGATTCATAAGGCCCTGGTGTGAGTGCCTGGGCTTCACAGGCCCGCCCATGTTTCAAATGAAAACCAGCTATCATTATGTGAATTGCTGGGCTGTGGTTTTGAGGACAGATTAATTGGCTGTAATCTTATTACACTGTGGCTTGCTGCAGCCTTGACGACCCCCCACTGGCCTCCCCCTTAGCGCTGTCTACCTGCCTGCTGGTGTCACTGAACTCATACTGTAGTCTGCTGGCTTGGCACACATAAGACATGCTGACAGACGAAAAGAGCAATTCAGTAATTGGAGATGAATTGTTTGTGGTGCAGATTACCTTTCGCATATTCATCTGAACACATTTGTATCAATCTATAAAATGACTGTCTGTTTATTCAGATTTTAATTTTCTCTTAATTCAGTCGTGACCCAGATTTCCTTCCTTTAAAATTTCGTTTCACTCCTTTAATTAAAGGTAGCCACATATTTACAATGTTATGTCAAATCTCTAGTTTTTGTTTTGTTTTCTAACTTTTTTGAAAGAGTTAATGAAAATCCCAGTAAGTCATTTATTTTCCATTATATTTCTTTTTTTTTTTTTTTTCTTGATATCTTGTTAATCTTGTTGCTGTCCTACAGGAAAAAGCACTCTGGGATCCCATGGGTGGTTAGAAGCCGAAGTTAAAGGGATTACTCTTGGCTGTCGAACACAGGAAGTTCTTGGAGCCAAGAGGGATCACCTGACTGGCGGTGGCCCAACACCTCTTCCTAGAGACAGCAGGACCTATCAGGATACATCAGCCCTGCTCTCACGGCTTGTTAATTCACCATGGAGCCAAGAAATCTTTCGTGAAACTGCACGGTTGTCTTGAAGGCAACTAGCTAAAGAGTTTGGCAGCACCTTTTGTGTGTTTTTGGAATACTGCCCTTGAGTGTGTGCTGCTGGTCCTTAGAAAGGAATTTATGCTGTCTGGGAGGACATTTTCCTGAGATTTTGCTGTTGACATGCTTTTCCCCACTACCTTTCAATTCAAAGCATATGACCTCCATTCATGGTCACAACGAAGCTAAGGCCTCGAGGGAGTGTCATTTGTCAAGGAATAATTTGGACTCAGGCCAAAAATGGCCAGAGACGTCAGTCCTCTGAGCCTCATGCCTCTTTCTGCAAGACACCAGCAATGGGTTGGAGCCTCTCTGGGGTGTATCCTCCCCTTCTTCCCTCTACGTTCTCTAATTTGCTACTACTTCCTGTCATGTGCAGCAGCAACAGGAAGCATGCCTGGCATAGAATATGACTATGGCATTAGCCCCAAATTTGTTTGCACCCCAATTCCCCCAGAAGCAGACCCCAGCTGCTATTCCCCACCCAGTGTGCCCCATGGACCAACGAGTACTAATGGCCACACTAATGGCCACAATGGCAGTAGCCGGAGAGGCATGATGTCTGACGAAGCCAAAGCCACCATCTTACACCTGCGTGAGAGCCTTGTGAGGCAAAAGGAGACCATCCTTGACCAGCGGGAGACCATCAGGGAGCTGACAGCCAAACTCACTTTGTGTGAAGGCTTTGGTGGTCACCATAGCACTGATCACCATGACAGCAATCACCACGACAACCATCATGATACCCATCATGATAATCATCATGACGGCCACCATGATGACCATCACGGTCATCACAGCAACCACCATTCACCCTCATCTTCACACCACGGGCCTTCAGCATATCACAGCAGCGATCACCACTACCCCCACGGCAGCCACAGGTCCGACCCCCACCACAGGAAGGGCTCCTCATATGGAAAGCACAGCTCCTTCTCCCCTGAACAGACAGGCAAAACACTGCAGACTCTGAAGGAGAGGCTGGAGAGCTTACAGGTGAGTGCAAAGATCCACAATGCATGCTCAGAAACAGAACATTCTGTGTCACCGGTGGGGATTAACCACTTAACAACCAAAATTGGCAAGTTTTGACCAATGCCAGGAAATATATGTACTGATGGATGGATATTTTTGAGGTTTGGAGCTCCACCATTTTGATAGCTTGTGCCAACACATTCTCAGTCCCAACTTAACAAATACCAACACTTATCAGTGGCCCTATGTATCAAACTACGAAGCTCTGAGTACCCGCTAATGTCAGTTTTGGATGCTCTGGGAAAACAGTCAGTTTTAACTTGTTACATGCGTGGTGTCTTTTTTAAATAAACTTAGGTATTGACAGGGATTGAACTGTTTAAGAGCTTAATTCTGCTAGGCCATGTTGGAGATAACTATTCAAGACTAATTTAAAGGGGACTTTGTGCAGCAGTTGTACGACAACTGAATGTAAATGAAAACATCTTGTGTAACTGGCAGAGTGTGTACATGTTCCCTCAGCCCTATGTTCACACATATCAGCACCTCGGCCAATGACATAATGTTTTATCAATCTGTTTGTATGTTTGTTTGTTTGTGTCTCTGTCAGTCTTAGCATTATTTTTCAAAAAGTTATAGACATCTTATCATATGGGCAACCCTAACCTATAACCCAGTTATAGAAGTACCAGCTCTAATGCTTAGGGAAAATAAGACTCGGGGAACATTGGGCATCATTTGGGATGGAAAAAAGTTCACGAGGGAACATAGGGCTGAGGGAACACAGGGCCTAATATTAGATGTAAAAAAGTTAATCAGGGAACATGGGTCTAAAAGAACATAGGGTATAATTTGAAATGGAAACAGTTCATGGGGGAACACTGGGCTGAGAAAATGTAAGGCCTGATTGGGGATGAAAAAAGTTCAAGAAGAAACAGGACTGCGGGAACATAGGGCCTAATTGGGATGGAGACAGTTCATTGGGGCATATAGGGCCTAATTTGAAATGAAAACAATTAATGCAGGAAAGTAGGGCCTAATTTGAAATGGAGAAAAAAAGGTTTATGAAAAAACACAGGGCTGCGGGAACATACAGCCTAATTGGAATGAAAAAAAGTTCATAAGGGAACATAGGGCTGAGGGAACGTAGAACCTGATTTGGAAGGAACATTGTGCTGAACTGTCACGGGAAGCTCTGAATTACAAAATAAGGAGCTACCAAGAGAGTTGAAGTATGTAGAAAGTTCTGAAAGAAAATAGGTCACCAGAAAGCAATCTATGGTCTGCCACAAGGTAATGTTTTTTGTTAACTTATTTAACTGTATGTGGACCATTCAAAGAAGAAAAGACAAAGAAAAGTCCGCACTCTTCAGCTCCCTTTAGGTGCATTTATTCCACCATCCTGGAGTGACGTTTCGGGCCACAGGTGCCCTTCTTCAGACTGAGAAATACAGCTGTAGAACGCCATTTTTAAAGCTCCAAACAGGTCACATGACCAATAAGACCGTGACAATACAAAATAGAAAAAATAAATAAATAAAAAATATATATATAACACTATACACAGCACAAAAGAAACAAACATCAGGCTGCGAGGCCATCATACTCAGCTGACTAAATGTATAGAGGCGCCTCTATGAAATATTCGATATTTAGGATGATAGAAAGATACATTTAAAAAAAACAACAAAAAAAACAACAAGTTATTGTGTTTAATACACCAATTTATCAGTGTCAATAACCCTGGGAAAGAACACGGTCAGGCATGTACATATAAACACACATAGTACACTGGAGGACACAGAATACAGCAGCACAGACAAGTATAGTTTAGTACCAAATATTTTGTAAGCAACTCAGAGTCCAACGACCATTCAAAGAAGACAAATGCCTAATATATTTTTATCAAGATTACATTACTGCCCCGGGGTTCTGCTCTTTCTCAAGTTCAGTGATCCAAACTGACTCCCACAGATGCTGTTACCTTTTTTTTAGAAGAGTTTCTTCTTTTAACTATACAAGAACGCTGCAGGGATAGAAAGGAACAGCACTGTCTCCTATCTGAAGATATTCATATGGCTGTAATTAAACCTGTAATATTTCAGGTGAAAAGGGTAAACAATCTCTAAGAGCTCCCGAAGGAAGCCTGCACGATACGAACATTTTGACATGCTTAGTAATGTGTCTGCAAGGAGAGACTGAACAGTCTGCAGGGAGGCAGAAGCCTATCAAAGGTTTGACTTAATTGGGGTCATGTCTTGCGTCATTAAGTGTCACAAGCTCAGCCGCTGAATCAGCTGCCAGTGATGTCAGCTGCCAAAATACAGTAAGAAAGATATGATTCATGAAGACATGGTAACCCACAGGATGCTGTTTGTGTTCATGGCATTACAAGGCCATTTTTCATTAATAATTCATATTTTCAGTTTTGAAATATTTTGATTTCTAAACAATACTACTTTTAATTGGGTATCTATAGCTTTGGAATAAACACAAACATTTTAGGTAAGTGTCAAAAGTTGGTGGAGATACGTCTCGCGCACACATCAAGAACCATCCATCAGGCATTGTCTGACACACAACACTTTCGGAGCTAATATCACAGCTGTTGGCTGGCCTGTTGTCTCAGAGCCATTGGAGGCTAATGTCCTCTCAGAGTTCCGGCTCTCCATCTCTCTGTTGGATATCAGTGGCCAAGCCTGAGCTCACACAGGAAGCTGCTCTAAGATTAGCCCTCACCCCTGACCTAAAGCAACCCCTGTGTTCAACCATCACATGTTGGAGTGAAGCTTAGTGGAGATAGAGGGAAGTTACTAGCCTCTCTGAGAATCCTCTAGATCATCAGATCACAGTATTGTTATTTGTTATTTGGTCAATTTATTTATCCCTATCACCACGAAATTAAGGTAGAGTCAGTGATTCTGGAGAAAGACTGTTAATGTTTGAACTTAAAACCCAAACGAAACAGTGCTCCTTCAGGACCTCTTGTAATATCTCTGATGTTAGTTCATTGCTATCATGGTGTAGCTCCATTCCTCATGGGCGAGGGCATTAAAGAGGGAGAGTAGCCGGCATTTGTTTATTTCCCATTTACAGAGCCAGGGTTGTGTTAACCCCTAACCCTTACCCCCTAACCCACACACAGAACAGACAGCTCGCTGATTATAAGGAGATATTTGTTAAAATAACAAAAATATATTGGCTTAGAATGGCTGACTGCACCTTAAGGGTCTATATCCGCTGTGGAAACCACGCCAAGTAAGTCCACTTTGTATGCCAAAAAGATTGGGAACCATTAATCCAGATTTCTAAAAAACACTTTAAAAGTTAATTTCATTCAGTGTGAGTCCAACAAAGCACCAAATCAGTGCTAACTGGAAGTGGCTCTCCCAAAATGTAGGTCTTTCTGAATTTGTAGACATTGCACAATGTGAGCTGTAAACTGTGTTGTAGCACCTACAACAGGAAATACCTGGGGTTTTGCTGTCTTACTTGTGTTACAACATTTAACAATGCTGGTGTCACATTGCAAGACTAAAAGCCTGCTGCCTGCTGGCCTGCGAAAGCCTCACTATCAGTGCAGGTGGTCTGAGGCTACGCTCAGGGAAAGTGTTGCCAAAAATCCCCTCCAATCTCCCTCGAAGGTGTGAGACAAAACAAAGGCAGAGCTAGGATTTACTTTCCGTCACTCCCTCCTCTAACAGGATGTCTACACCACCAGCCTCTGGCCACGCGCCGAAGGGCGCTAGCCAGCCTCACCTTCAATTAGCTTCATCCTCCCTGACGAGGCTATTAATCGTGGCGTGCACTGGCAGGGAACAAAGCCGGATTTGCTGGTGAGGAAGACAAGGATGAGCAAGGGAGAGGAGGGGCGGAAACTATTCCCCTGCAAGTTTAAATGTCATTCCATAATTCTTTTTCATTCGCTGCAAATTTACTGCAAAGGACTTTGGACTCTTTAATGTAGTAATTTTCATTAAGCTCAAAGCTTGTTAAATTTGATTCGTCATTCTTGACCTTGGAAAGTAGTGTTTAAAAAAAACAACACCATCTCATGGTCCACTTACTAGCTTTTTTGTGACCTGCATCTTAATCAGCATATCATCAACATTGCTCATTTGTCAGGTCATTTTTAGGACTTCCTGTCCATGATGGCTTATAAGTGAAACACTAGAGTTCAACCTCAGTTTTACTTGAGCTGGAATTTCTTTGTGAAGTTTATACTTTTTGTTTGTAACAGTCTAAACCAAGCAGTTTATGTATGTGTACAGTGTTTTTTTTATTTCTAAAACATTTAAACATGTATACATTTGACTTGTTTTCAATCAATATTTTTGTATACAAATTATTACTATTCAAAGATCTTTGCAGGATGTTGACGATGATTATAGTAAAGATGGTGGTGAAGATTTGATGTTGATAAAAGTATTTCTATGGCAGGAACTATCTACTATATAAAGACTAAGATAGCAGTGGTGTGTTCAAAAAATAAATACTGCCAGTAACACTTTATAATAACCATAATTAATAAATGGCAAATTAATAGTTAATATAACTTTAGTTTACAATGAAAATGATAATTAATAATGTTTATGACTTTCTAGTAATGCTATGATTTTTACCAATTGATTGTTGCACATGTAATAAGGTTTTTTATATACTAGTAGTAGTCGGACAGAACCACCAAAGCATGTGTATGTGACGACACCGGAATGACTCAATAATCATCTTATCATTATCTTTTTCCAAAGTTACATAAAACATCTTTAAGTATTGGTTTGTTAACTGTCTACAAACATTTAAAAATGTAACTGATGATTCTGATACCTTGTTATATGGTTAATAAACCACTCATTAAAGTTTAATTAATCATTATTATAAAGAGTCGGTAAATATACAGGATAAACTAGTATATGGAACATGTATGCCATTGCAACGTATCCTTATAGAATGGTTCATCTGATATCCTACAAATTACTGCCCCACAAATACTACAAATAACTTAAAGTTACATATTTAACATAAGGTTATGGAGGTTAGGTTTGGGCAAGAAAAGTTACTGCAGTTAGATTTAGGAAAAGAAACATGGTGAGGACATACCTTAAAATTCACTGATGCTCCTAACACGCATCTCGTGGGTAAAGTCCTGGTGGAAAGTCCATGCATTTGTGACCCATCTACCACCCCAACCTGCCTCCTTACAAGACTGTTCAGGATGGCTTCCTTGTTTACTGCAGTCAGTGCACTGGTCACACAACCGTAGCCTTCCAAAATACATGGGTTATTCACGAATTGCTAGCTCAGGATTACATGGGATAAGCATGAATTTGGGTGCATTACATTTTGTAGGAAAATGATAAGAACATCCTGGCAAATGGGTCCTTTAATTGCTTGACCAGTGGACATGTATACTTGTAACACCATTTTTAGATTTATTCTATAACATTCATGTGTTAAATGAAGCCTACAGAGCAGAGTCAGGGCCTGTTTTGCTCCACACTGTGAGAAATCCTGACTGATGTGTTTGTGCTTCTGCAGGCCAGGAACTCCTCCAGCTCCTACTCCAGTTCCCTGAGGGAACTCCTCCAGCGGAAGATCACTGCCCTCGAGGACCAGCTGCACAGCTACTACCGAGATCACCATGACTACGGTCACCATAACGACCACCATGATGATCACCATGATGACCACCACGATGACCATCACGGCAGCAGCCACCACAACGACCATCACGATGACCACCACGATGACCACCATGGCAACGGCCACCATGACGGCCACCACAACGACAACCATGGTGCCGGTCACCATGATGACCACCACGATGACCTCCACAGTAATGGTCACCATGATAACCACCATGACAGCCACCACAACAGCCACCACGGTAGCCACAGGAACAGTCATCGCAGCAGTCACTATAACCGCCATCACGATCACCACTACGACTGGCACCACAGCCGGCAACGTGGTCACTATGGTAACCATAGCCCCCACCGTGATGACCATTATGATGACCACCATGATGATCATCACTATGACCACCATGGTCACCTCGATGATCACCATGGTAGCAGTCATCACGATGATCACCATGACTATCACCATGGACCTGGACACCATGATGACCACCATGATGACCACCATGATAATCATCACGGCAATGACCATCATGACAGCCACCATGGTAACGATCACCACCCACGGAGGCTTCCCAATGGCAGCAAGGAAACAACGTTGCGAGGCGCAGGGCACAGCAAACTGGAAACGGTGCTCAGCCAACTGCACCACGGCAACAATGACCACGGTACATACACAAAGCAATTGTACAGTGCTGCCTTCCATGTAACCGTAAACTTGTGCTGTGGTCATTAGCCAATATTAAACTTAGATGAGAGGCCACAGTTTACTTAAAAAATAATTACAAGTCAAAAATGAAACCTTGCAGGTCAGTTAACACTTACAGGGAATGAAAAATATTGTCATCAACCGTAAGCTGGCCATTTTGGAAGGGTAAGGGGCCGGACACATGCTGCGTCTTAAACCACATGGTGAAATGCGAGGTCTGGCGCTCGGTGCTACTCTTGTGCCTTTTTGTGTCAGCTTTCAAGAACCTGGCGGCAGGCTGCGCCTGAGGTTGCTAAGCACCTTAACAGGCAACGATCATAGCCTATTCACCTGAAATCCTGAGTGCAGAGATGATCTTCGTCCAGACGCTGTTTATAAGTGTGTGGTGCTATCATACGTCTTAAGCTCTGGCAGCCCTGCACTACATTGAAAACAATGAATTTGAGGGCACAAAATACATGGCATGTGTACGGCCCCTTAGAGTGCTACTCACTGACTGTCTACTGCGTCAAAAAGAACTGCTGAACTAACACAAAACACAACACAGTGAATAAAGTTCAAAACACCAAATGTAGCATATAAGGCCTACAGTCAGACACAAAGGTAGAGTAACACCAGAGATCATTAGATTAATTCTGCACAATTAGCAAAATTTTATTAGCATTTAGTTAGCATAACATTGGCTAGCTTGTTTTTGTGCGGATGATTTTGCAGGTGGCATGTGGCTTGTAGATCTGACGGTCCTTTACCCGCCTGCTGAACATGGACCTCAAAACAATAACATTTTTTAAATCGCTGACAGGTAGAGGCACTAACGCCAAACACCAGATAGACAGCAGAGACATGTAGCATTAATGGTGGCAAACTGTCAAATTTCTTTGACCATTCTATATCTTCTTATCTAACTTGCATTTTGTAGCATTAATATTAATGACAGAACACTTTGTTTCTTTGAACAACAGTGCCAGATTGCATATACAGTAGTAACTCCAGCAATGAATGACCTCAATCTAAATTCTGCACCCTCTGTCTCACCAGGAATCCACAAGAAGCTAAAGAGTCCCAACGCTTTCCTGCTCGACTTCCCCATGAAGACTAACTACATGTACGCCAGGATGAAGCGGTCGGTTGTCAACGAGATCTTTGCCATGACCATCTGCCTGTGGCTGAAGGCAGGTGCTGGTCCGGGCCTCGGTACTCCCTTCTCCTATGCTGTAGCTGGACAAGCCAATGAGTTGGTGCTCATCGAATGGGGCAGCAACCCCATGGAGCTGCTAATCAACGACAAGGTAAAAGCATTAAAAGAAAAAAGTAATGCACAGTATCAAGAGCCTGTAAATGCTGAGAAGCACAGATTTGGACACCAAAACTCTTTGTAGAGGCTTTTTACAAATGAAATTATTAAGTTGACACATATCTCCTTTGTGTGTGGTGGTTCCAGCTGATTCTGGTACAGAAACACTGGTGCTACTGTGTATAAAAGGATTAAAGACTAAGAATCCGCTATGAAGTTGTTAAAAGGGGATTTTCCAGTCAAAAAGCTGCTTCTCTGGGCTTTAGGAAACCCATGCAGTTCTCACAACCTTGCTCCAAAGTTTGCGAATTCTTCACACAGTGAGGTGTGATAGTCACAGCTTAGACTGACAGACTGTGGAGTGGAGGTCAGAGGTACAAGGAGAGGACAGGGACTTCAGACTCAGCATATTTGCCATTTCACGTTCTAATTAACTTGTTAAGGCCTTTGTTCACGTCCAGATTTTTTTTTTCAGAAATAGCACATATTTAAAATAAACAAGACCTCATATTGTGTCAGTTACAGTTGCACTCATCAAAAGTCTTTAGAGAGTCATCTGACCAAGAGGCAATGCAAAAAACCCCAAAACAAAACAGAAGAACAGGGCACATAGTGTCATTTCATAACTCAGATAGCCTACTTTCAGCAGGTTAGACAGTAATACTCAGGTGGATGATAATGATGAGGAGGAGGATGTCACAGATTAATCGACCTGTTGCTGCGCTTCCAGCGAGTTTTTAGTCACCAAATGTGGGTATCTTTTAGCGACCCATAGTGTCACGAAAAAGTTATTGTCTTTTACCAAGACACCTGGTTAAAACATTTTTAGCTGAAATTTCACTGCTAAAGTTATGGAAATTTGAGATTTCAAAGCAGGTAATTTTTCTGAAAAGGTTACTTATCTTTGTATTTGCATCCAACATGTTCTCATCCCAAGTTGTCACATCGCCGCTTTGTCCGTATATTACTCGCTAGGTATCCTCCTGCGTCTGCTGTTGACATTCCGGGATGCTGCAAGCAACATCAGGACGTCAACAAAAGCATGTGGTTAGGTTTAGAAAAAAAATGATCATGGTTTGGCTCTCCATTCATAGGGGAAGTGAACACTGGGGTCTTAGATGAAAGTTTGTTGGACCCAACCACCACCCCTTCCACCCGCCCTATAGGTATTTTCCAACTCCTTGTGTTACATCAGCAGCAGCAGCACTTCAAACTGATGCTGTCCTGTGGCGTATCATACTGCCAAAACAAGTGCCATCTGGCTGACTGGCAATGTATTAAAATGTACTGAAATCACTGACAAAGCAGCAGTACTTGACGACTTTGGAATAAGAACGAGCTGGTGCATCAAAGCTTGAAGATTTTGCAAAGAAGGGCCCTCTTATTTTCTTGATTCTTGGCACTTTATGGTTTTATGACCTTGTACCCAGATTGCTGACACACAAATTATTCAATTATTCTATTACCCTCCTAATCTTTCATTCTCTGAAAAGCTGATAACGGAAGGCAGACACTTGTCTTCTTCCCCTCCTGGCCGCAGCACTGTGAGCAGTTAGCTCAACAAACAAATCAACAAAGCAATTAATCTGATTATCGTAATTGATTGGCCTAATTATCTGTAGGAGTAACAATACCAGGAGGGATAAACTGTCATGTTCGCTTTCTTCTAGTCACTAGACACTTGGCCATCATCAAACTGATCAATGACACAGAATGCAGATTAATCTCAGTCTGCAATTAATTTTAGGAGTTTATGAGATTCTCATATTGTACTAATCCACTTTTCCTACACCCACTGTCATCCAATAGAGGTTTGCCAAGGAAATTTTTTTCTACGATGTCACTGGCTACGGTTACATGATAGCTTCTCATTCGGAATGAAATAAATCTGAATGAAATCATTCGGAATTAAAGTCTTTCCAGGTAGTTTACATGGGAAATATTCATTCCGAATGAGGGTTTACACGGGAGATCAGTTTAATCACCTTTATTCAGGTCTGTGCAAGGTTTGGGGCAGGGAAGGTTTCTGATTGGATAGGGGGCGGGGCGGATGTTACGTGTTTACGTTTACCAGAAGAAAACACTGTATAGTCCTCGCTCTGGATAACAAGATGCTTGACGACGCCATTCTTAGTGCCTTTTTCGGGCGTGTTTTGCTTATATTCTTGAAGCAGCAGTACGACAACAACCTTGTTCTGCTAATGCTTCATCTGTTGAGGAGGAGAAGGGAGGTAGAAGGTCAAAGAAGGGAGATAGAAGACCGTGCTGTGGCGAATGGAAACCGGTGAGTGCAACAAGTCCGACTGCTCTATCTCAGCCTGTTGCTATGCAGCCCGTTGCTATGCGCGTTATATACGTCATCGCGCCAGAAGGGCAAGGAAATGAGCATGCGCAGAAAGACCGGAATGAATTTAAAGAGGAATGAGTGTATACATGCACACAAAATTCTTTCATTCGGAATGACAAACGGAATAAACCACCCCCTTTAATCGGATTTAATTTTCAGTCGGAATGACCGTTTTTCAATCGGAATGACCATTTACATGACCACTTTTAATCGGAATGGCCTTTCATTCCGATTAAAAGTGGAATTAAACTGTGCATGTAAACGTACTGATTGTGGTGTTTTGGGAAAAGAGGTGACAGTGTTTGAGGTATCTCTTTCCTGACTAAACAAGGAAAAATCCTTCTGTTTGGATGCTCATATATGATTAAATCAGAGATTTAATTCTTATTAATCAGGGTGGAGTCCGCACTTTAATCAGGGTGGTCAGGTCCAGCCTCATCCTCACCTTTAACGGAATGTCTGTCTCTGCCACCTGTCTGTCTTTCTCCACCTGTGTGTTTAGGCGGTGACATTGCCCATAACCATGACAGATGGGAAGTGGCATCATGTGTGCATGACATGGACGACACGGGACGGTGTCTGGGAGGCCTACCAGGATGGGGTGAAGAAAGGCTCAGGTCAAAACCTGTCAGCCTGGCACCCCATCAAACCAGGAGGGATCTTCATCCTGGGCCAGGAGCAGGTAAGACATTAAGCATGCTTTCTGACAGAGATCCAGTATGCATAAAAACTGTAGATAGATACGGTTGCCATGCACAGACAACGTAGAAAGCAAGAATTTTAAAAAGATTGGTGATACAAATTGTTGCCATAGTGTCAGTTCAATTTAGCTATAAGTTTAGTTTTATAACTTTATAAAGTCTAGAGTTCGATCTTAAGTCAGTAATCTGTAGCCCTTGTTAGATAGGAACTGTGCAAATTTGAAGGAAAGCCCAATCAGTCTTTTTTCAGCATTGGCAGTATAAAAACAAAATCGGGGAGTGTGGCAAAATGCTGCCTACCTACTTTTGTTTATACAGAATGTGCCTTTTTCTGGGCAATGGGGGGCGTGAGCAACTAACAAAATCTGTAGCTCAGCATGTGACTTAAACAGTGACAGCTTATTCTTTGGCGATTCTCTCATAAGTCAGCCCGTTCTTCACCGTCCCCGTCATTTGACGATTAATGGTCTCTTCATTTGCGAGGACAAGGAGGGCGCGCAATTCTTTGTCTCTCCAGTTGCTCATCTTTACAGTGTCTTTCACGTTTGCGTTTCCCTCTTGCTACTAGCTGCTCATTCCTGCTATCAGCTGTTTCCTGTTTGTCCACCGCCAGTGGGTCGCATGTGCGACGTCATCAACAGCTCCTCCCACAAGTCTTCAACAGCCCCTCCCGTTGCGGAAGCCCGCCTCGTTCTGTTTAAACAAAAAGGGTTCTGCCAATATGACTACCCTACGAGGCGGAAAATTGGGCACCTCGGATCAACTCACCAATCCAGCTCTGTGTGTCTAAACGCTCGCAGCTTGCCGGCAAAATGCTCCAACATTCGCTGAAAATCTGGCAGTGTAAAAGGGCTTCTGTTTTATAGGGACACTTCACCCCCAAATCAAAAACCCATCATTTTCCTCTAGTGCTATTTATCAGGCTAGATTGTTTTGGTGTGATTTCGAGATATTAGCCGTAGAGATGTCTGCCTTTTCTTCAATATAATACCTCGGGCTCTTCTGTTGCCTGTGACTGTTTTTTTCCCAAGAATCAGTGTGAAAATTGGAAAGATGATCTTGGGAGACAGGCAATTCAACTGGCACTTATCTAGTCACAAGCTTATTTAGTTTTTGTCACTTGTAGCCTGCAGCTGTCGACAATTAAAATCCAGTTTTGGTTGTTTAGCCAATGTAGGGTTAGGGTTAGGGTTTAGGGTTAGCCAATACAGGGCTACAGGCACAGGCTCACCTTTGGTGGGGTGTATTTCCACGAGCTTCACATTGTTGTGCTGTTGACCATAAAAGGTGTTTCAGGAGGTTTGAGGTTGTGTTTTTCACACACATTTTTCCCCTTTGTTAAAATCAAAGTCGTGGGAACATTTCCAGTGGCTGAATGTAGTAAGTAAAGTAAGCGTTTCCATCTTCCAAGCTAGCTTGATGCTTAGTGATGTGCATGCATACAAATACGAAAATGAATCCAGGGATGTGGTTGTTTGTTGCATTTCAAATCAATAGGGGCATGACAACAAAAGTATGGTTAAATACTGTCAGTAATTAATTATGCTACTTGTTACTGGACGTTAGCTCAGTGGTACTAGTTGAGCTGGTAGAAGGTGCATGCTTTCATTGGCGCAGTGATATGTTTGGTAGGTGTAGTCTGGAAGAAAGAAAATATGTCCTGCATGGTCTGCTCACAACAAGGTCTGTGGATTATCTTGAGGAACTGGGTCATGATTTCTTAAAAGAATCATTGCTGTTGAATTTTTTAAATGTATTTTTTTGGCACTTTGAGCACCACAAGCCAGTAATTGCATTATATGGGAGAGAAGGCAGACCTCTCTGCCGCCAGTATCTCCAACATTCAGCAACTCACACCAAAACAATCTACAGTGATGAACAGCTTTTTGTGTTGAGTTGTTCCTTTAAGATTTGGTCCATCCAACATTTTAAGTCTTGACCTGTTCTTTACTCATCCTCACAGGACACAATGGGAGGCCGCTTTGACGTCACTCAATCCTTCATTGGAGAGTTGTCTGATCTCCAGTTCTGGTCCAGAGTCCTGACGCCCAGTGAGATCTACGGCCAGGCGACCTGTGGAGGCCACCTCATTGGTGATGTCATCTCCTGGTCTGATGAAGCCGTGGAGCTGCATGGAGGGCTCACTGAGCTCCCCTTTGATCCCTGCCACTAAGGACTGACACTCCAGTCCCACACCCAGAGCTGTATCATCATCACCCCAACATTTTCTACTACGTGTTCCCATCAGAAGTAGTTGAAGAGCAGGAAAATGTTTTGTCATGGATTAAAGATGGGGATTTATCTCATTGCTTGCTCACATTGCAAGCTCAGCCATGAGCAACAGACAAAGCAGGAGTTACTTTGCTTTTTCTATATATTTGCCATTCCCATCCGATCCTTCTGCCTTCTCCACCTTCACCCTCACTTCTTTGCTCTGACACTCTCAGCAGGACGACTTTGAAGGCTCCAAAGAGCGCAGGGCTTTGGATTTACCGGCTGTGTGGTCATGACTATGGCCGCTCTGAGGGATCCAACACACATAATAGGATTTCATTCCATCAGCACAGGTTCAAAGGTTGCTTGTTGCCATCAGCTCGCCTACACTAGCTCATTTTGTTTGGTATGTGAGCAACATAGACATTACAGGAGGTGAAAGAGTGGCTAAAAGGCCATGGATACAAATAAAGCCACATAGAGACCTGAACCTAGATGACTCATACATGTTGCTAAAGTATCGAATATCTGCTCATTGCTTTGTGGAGACAAAGGTTGTGGGACGTTTTTTTCAACGTAGGTTTGTAAAATTTGGCACAATCTACTGGTGTTGATTTTGCACAGTGAGATTTTGGTGGACTGTTTTATACTAGTATTTCATATTGAAAACTTTACAACAGACATTTTTTTTTTGTAGAAATAAAACAGAATTTGCTTTTGTGGCATTCAAAAAAAAATCGAATCAATTTGTTTTGTGTTCTTCATGAGCGTAATGATGTTTTAAATCTGAAAGAATCCACTGTGTCTGTCTGTAAGTGGATCTGCTTCTCTGTTCAAAAGTCAGCGGTTACATAAGAACACCATGGCTCAATGTCAGACATGACACATTACAGCCACGGGCCACCTGACTGCACCAGCACAGTGTTAACTCAACAGGTCACAGCAGTAATGCAGATTTCTCTTCGGCAACCGGTGGCTTACAGTGGGATTTACCTGTGGACAACTGATCTGATCCTGCCTATTTCCAACCAGCTCATGGCAGAGTGAGACACACACACACACACACACTTGCACAAGTTCAGAGAAGATAAAGAGGTAAAAGAAGACATTACTGATCTCTGTTTGTAGCTGCACCTTCATGTTTTTATAACAAAAGAGTTTTTGTACATGTAAATTATATAAGATAGTATGTTTTTAAATTATTAAAACATTTATTATGGCATTCCTCACATTGTAAATAAGTACATAGCACTTTCTCAACCCCGTGTTAACCCTGTGGTTGTTTGTAAAGCACATCTTCAGGAGTAAATGGTTTATTTTTTGTCTATTACAGCCCCACTCCCTCTAAGTTAAACTTAGAGAGGATGAACTCTCTTTCTTGATAGTAAAAAGGGGTATCTGTTGTTGCCATGGTAATAGCATCTCTCAGCATCAGGACCACATCGTCGCACTACAGCAGTAAATATCTGCAAAATGTAATGCCAAGACGAGCAGCACTTTAAAACCATGCTCCTGTTTTCCTCTCATGATAGTGGGCCAAATGCATGTGACGTTTGTTTTGTATGTTTCTTCTGTCTCTGTTATATAGACCTCAGTTTATACACCACCTCCATCTAACAAACTGTGTAGTTTGTAAGCTGAATGTTGACAAATGACATGTAAAAATAAGATATACAACTTTACGCTTAAAGACTTGCTTATTCTCGCCTTTGGTGTACACTTTAATGTATATTAGGTTTTTTTTTTGTTATCTTTATTCTTGTGTCTTTGGCTGTAAATATTAAATGTATTACAGTGTATTCAGTATACAGTCCCTCCCTTGTGTGTAAGCCAAAACTATAAACTGAATTGTTAAACTTGAAAGAGGAAGAAAATGCACTGTAAATGCTGTCAAATATTTGTAAAGATGTTGGGATTTTGAATAAATCTACTTAAAATATATTATGAATTCAAACCAGACTACAAATTATTTTTTTTATTTTTGACAGTGTGATCTATTGTATGCACATGTTGGATTGTCTTGTGACAGTTTTAGCAGGTCAGCCAGATTATTCACCAGAATAAGTATATACATTATCAAAACATTTGTATGTCATTATGTAGCGCTGAAGCTTTACGTGTCTTTACGTTCAAACAACACTGTGGTGAACGTGTGATTAGTCATGGGCCCAAAAACCACTTGGTTATGGTTAGGATCATGTTTTGGCTTAAAATACACACTTTTAGTGGCACAGCAGGAAACACAGCAATGGTTCAGTGGCACCATACCAACAGGAAATGTGGCAACATCTCAGTGAAAAAATATCCACTTTTCATGTCACTGTCTCGGCAGGAAATGCAGCAGTGTCTTGGTGCCAAAATAACTGCTTTTTGCGCCACCATAACAGCAGGAAATGTAGCAACGTTTCAGTAGAAAACAACTGCTTTTGTGGCACTATCCTGGCAGGAAACGCCACAAAGTCTCATGGTGTGTCTCAAATCACATACTTCCGTTAGTACACTTCTATGTAGTGTACTGTGTGCACTGTGTACTCATTGGCGTAGTGCCGTCGTGCACTCAGCAGAAATGACGACCGCAAATTAGCTAGTTAGCAAACTAGCATTAGCATCGCGGTACCAAATCATTACAGACTGCTAAATTAACCCAATAAACATACTGCTGGCTTATACCCGACAACAGTATAGTGGTGCTTAGTGCAAAAAACACATGTATTTGTACAATGCAGCGTTCACGGTCGCAGTTTCCAGTTTTAAAAGTGCTCCCTCCCTTTCTGCTACGTAGCCATTTAGGACGAGAAGTGTCCATCGTTCCACACTGAACTTTTTGACCGTTTTGAGTCCACCATCCGGGTACTCATAGTGCACTGCATTTTTCCATGCTTCTCAGTGTGAACGCACTTATGCACTCAAAATAGTAAGTGTAAGTACAGAAGTACACGATCTGAGACACAGCATCAGTAGAAACAAATCGCTTTTCGGGGCACTATCTTGGCTGGAAACACAGCAACAGAAGGTATCAACATTTTCTTCTAGCAACCTGGCCAAGCAAGTTGATCCAGCCTTGATTTAAAACTCAAGTACAGCTCTCGAATAGGTAGAGTGCCAGTGTGAATGTCTGTGTGTTACTTTTATGAATTACAGTATTCATCAACAATATTTTACAGTATCACAGAAAAGAAGAACAGATGGTGATGGGGACTTCCATTATGGCTACAAGTGCGCACCAGCTGCTGAACTCTCCCAGCTTGTTTGGTTATCAGTTGTGTTTTGCATGCAGCTGCAGAGGAGCCAGTGTTTTCATATGAGCGATATCACACTCACCAACCATAGGAACACTGGGCTGGCGTTTTGTTCCTGCTTTTAGAAAATAAATTATTTTAGGGATTAAAACGACATAAGAGAAACAGCTGACACAAAGCAGTTATACATTAATTTACTGAAACAAAAGCTTTGTGCCTGTTGAACTCTTGGATCAAATAATGGGAGTAAACAATGGATCAGCTCTGCTGGAGGAGAAACAACAGGAAACATCTACAGATGAAAGTAATTTTTTCATTTTTCCAAAGTGTTTCTTGTTACAGGAATGTGTATGCATTTAAACTTCAAGTGTTAATCACTTTAAAATACATTTAAACATGTTTTTCTTCATTAAAGTGTGATCTTAATACAGCAAATTAGGGACTTTTTACCTTACACAAAGATCAAGTGAGTTTTTGGAGTGTTTTAATTTCCATGTTTCATATTTTACACTGTTTCACTTTAAAATCAATTACATGCACGGGCTGTGTCAAGTGGCTTTTAGAAGAACACTGTCGAGTTTTACGTATTATCACATTAACTGATAATTCTATTAATGAGCTGCTCGTTCTGTGTTGAGGATGCATGATGAGTTTAAAGGTTCTGTTCCAAACAACAGTTATAGTGTCCACTTATCCTCAGTGATGCCTGGCCATGCAGATAGTTCCAGCTTTATTTATTATTTGCAGTGCTTTCCCTACTGTTAAAGTGAATGTTCTTAGATGTGTTGAAAGAATCAAAATGACATTTAAATTTTCCTTACAGAATCAATGTGCCAGTTACTTACGTTAACCAGCAAACCTCACTGTGGGGAGGCAGCTGAAGTCTCAGCAACATTCTCAACACCTCAGCAAATAAAACTGAAACTATCAGCATGGCTGGATTCCAGTGGAGGTACGTAGGAAAATCAAATGTGCCAGTGCATTAGGTATATCTGCAGAATCAGATACAACAAGCTCATATGTATTAAAATCACATTTTATTATAATGCAGCCTTGTGCAACAATACAGGTTCAGCCTCATACAGATTCACTGTTGGGCTGATTTAAATGACCCTTTGTGTGAATTTGTAGTGCTGTGATAAATCAACACCAGCTGAATAACAGTCCATGTAAAGTTGAAGTGTTGTTTTTTTGTTGTTGTCTCTCAGGCTGGTTGAGTCAGTACAGACAGCTGGCTCATTACTTCTCTCTGCTCTGCTTTCTGCTCATCATCATCACTCTGCTCCAGACTCTCTGCTGTGAGTATGATACTTTGACTTTTTGATAGGCAAAGAGGCAAAGTCCCTCCCCTTCTGCTGGACCACCATGGGACCTTATTTTTTTCGTGTAAACCCTCATTGAATGAATATTCCCCATGTAAACTACATGGAAAGACTTTAATTCTGAATGATTTCATTCAGATTTAATTCATTCCGAATGAGAAGCCATCATGTAACTGCATCCAATGACACAAAATAGTGTTTGAATTTGAATTGTTCCATGAATCACAGATATAGTGTTGTTGTTATAATAAGACACAACATGCTCACTCACAATTAAACCTTTAGGACTGGGTGCTGAATCCTTAATATAAGTAATAATAAAGTAAAAAACATTTTACAGACACCCTTCTTCAGCATTCTGGCAATGTAACAAACAATGTACACAGGTGGGGTTAATTATAGGTTACCACAAATAACACAACAAGTACACCCCAGCAAGGGGGAGCCAAAACCTTTCATGACACAGAATCTTATGGATTAGAGCACTTACACATGCAACAACACAAATATGTTCACTTCATTAAAAAACATGAATATATTGTTCACTTCATAAAAAACACACAAATGAACAATATATTCATGTTTTTTAATGAAGTGAATATGAATATATTGTTCACTTCATTAAAAAACATGAATATATTGTTCACTTCATAAAAAACACACAAATGAATTCTCTGAATTTCTCCAGCTAGGGTTGAGGGTATCAAGAAGATGTATCCATTATGCCTCCCTCTGGAGAAGGATTTTGTCTCTATTACCGCTCCGTAGCATCTTCACTTTCTCAATGCCCATGTAATGAAATGTACTTAAGCTATGGTTCTGACAGTTGATGTACTTAGATATGATCTTTGTCAACTTAAAGTCAAGAAAGTTACCATTTGTTGTAAAAGTGTTGAAGTGTAAGACTGAAACATAATACCTAATTAGAAAGACTATACGTCATGACTTAGAGTGCACTAGTGATGTTATTTGGAGTCAGAGTCTGCGCATTTGCCATCTTCCAATTGCCCAATAGCGAGTCATGTCATCAAACCCCCTTTTAATAGCATCAGTAACTGATTAAAGCCAAACTTACCAGAAAAACAAACACTTGAACAAACATCAGCAGCATGGTTTCACTTTCACTTCGGCTTATTGTTGAACAGTGGCCAGCGGTGTCAGGGGGAAATACGGCGGGACAAGAACGAAAGCTAAGGCAGTGGAAGTTCGAGTAGGGTGGGTGGAAGTCCAACAACCACCGAAACTGGTATTTCCTTCCCATAAGACTGTAAAGCCAAACCCTATTCTTTTTTCCTAAACCCAACCACATGCTTTTGTTGCCTAAACCCAACCATGGGCATGTGTTGGCAAAAGGTAATCACATGCATTTGTTGTTGAAGAAAAAAACATCAGTTTGAGGTGTTGTACTGACATTTAATTTGAAAGAGACTGTATGTAAACTGTACATTTCCTGTGAAAACAGAGGTGTATTTTGAGAAAAGACATGTAACAGGAAAAAAAAAAATTTTGATACAGCATCCCAGAACTTCAACCACCAACGCACCCAGGGTACCTTGCACGTCATATCTGGACGTGGAAAGTCCATGACCAAACATCAATATGTGACAAGGTCGGAGTGAGAATGTGTTGACATCAGCATGATAAGAATAACCTAAAAGCTCCTTCTACACACTGTTTATTTCTGCTGTAAAGTTGCCAATTTTAACATGAGTCTACAAGGCTTAACCTGCTCTTAGAGCCAGCCTCATGTGGCCATTAGAGGAACTGCAGTTTTTGACACCTCGGCATTGGCTTCATTTTTTAACCCCGGAAGTTACTGTTTAGTTCCTAGTAAAGATGTACATATTTAAAAGTGTCTCCCAGATATGTATTTATTCTTTTGTTGGTTGGTTGTTTTTTGTTTGTTTGTTTTTATGTCACAGTGAATTCTTAAAACAGCTGATCACTGTAGTTTTTAGGTGTTAGTCACTGAGACAGGAGGAAATAGTGCATTTGTGGGGACTATTTTCAGTGACCGGTTTTGTCCTCTTGTGAGTATTTGTGGCAGTAGGATGGTGTGTGTGTGTGTGTGTGTGTGTGTGTGTGTGTGTGTGTGTTTATGTTAATGAAGGAATGTGTCACCCAATGCAACAGTGTGGCTCACTGATGTGTTTCTAATAGATTTTAGACAACATTGCAGAGGAAGAGGACTTATCAGGCTTTGACCAAGCAGACAGTATTTATTAGGAGGATTGCATCATTGTTTATTTTGGTCTTTTCTTTAGATTATGAGAAAATTTTCTTGAGATATATTCTATGAATTTGACAGCAGCCATGTGCTGCTTATGCCGTCATCTTTGCTTTAAAAAATCCAGAATATTCTTTACTGTTGTGCCAGCAGCTGACATTTTGTCAAAAATTAAGACGTCATTCTTTTTACATCTTATTTTAGATTCTTCATTTGAACGTTTACCAAGAGGATTAACTCTTCATGTTTCCTCTGAATGGAGTCATCTTATTTTTTGTACCTCTGTCAGTCTGCTTTGTTTTCTCCCCGACACATCCTTTATTATCCAGTATCCATGGAAACAGGTGATGGGACATTGTGTATGTAATTTTCTGTCTTTGTGGTGTGTGTGTGTGTGTGTGTGTGTGTGTGTGTGTGTGTGTGTGTTTGATGTCACAGTGGTTCAGATCACCTTGGTGTTCCAGTCGCAATCAACCCTGCAGGAGACCAAACTGAAAGATCTGACACACAGACTGGAGAAGCTTAACCAGTCATATAACCTCCTGTTCTCCCAGTATCCAGCTCTGAACCAGTATTGCCCAGTCAGTAACTCCACCACTAGTGGTAAGTTTGTGTGGATGGGCTCTTGGAGTCAGGGTTAATGAGGGCCCCAAGATTTAGACAATTAGTCTGGTCCTTAAAGGACAGTTTACGGGTTTGACTTTTCGAGTTAAGTTACAGTGCGCTCACCAGAGGAAAAGTTTGACATTGTACATTTCTGCAAATCACACATACGTTACATTTCAGACATATCATGTTTCTAAATTGAAATAGTACCAGGAGGTGGACAGGATGACTGATGGCTTGTCACCTGGGCGAGATACCTGCCAAGCTGCAGACCACTGTTTGAGACCCAAACCTAGTTGTGTTTCCCAACCAAACATGAGTGTTTTCTAGTAACCTGTTGCCGTTTTTCCAGCAGTAAAAGTGCCAGGAAACATGGTTGTTTTTTAGCAAGACTTTGTTGCATTTCCAGTCACGATTATGCCATTAAGAGCGCATTTCTTTAAGCCAAAACATGATCTTTTCCTAACCATAACCGAGTGTTTATATCACTACATCAAAGAAAGACATAAAGAAATAAAGAAAAGAAAGTAAAAGTAAGGATGACAACAAGTCAAATACAAGAATGACCTCAGGAGACTACCTGAAAATCAGTGTGGTATTTGTTGTCAATGTTGACTTTCCAATCCTTTCGTAGAATCAGGCGTGCACCTGCAGATTGAACACAAGGAATTATTTGCAGAAAACCGTTTGACCCAGCGGCTCTGATCTGCATAGTGATTTGCAAAAGTACACAAACCACAAACAGCTAAGGCACAGTGTCATCTGCTGCACCATGTCAGCTGCTTCATTTTGGATGCAGATAACAAGAATTCTTTCTCTCTCACTATAACCGCCCACTGTAGTGGACGTTAGGCATCCATTGTTTGGAGCACTATATTTTTCCATTCACCCCTAAAATAATGATGTAATCTGCACATGTATATGAACATTAAATGGTCTGTATGCAACATTCAGAGCATTAATATAGCAACAAAACCAGGTAGGCCTTACCAAGTAGACCTAATGGCATCCTGAGCAGAGAATGTAGTCATGCTATCTCTCTGTGTTTTGTAATGAAAGCTTCTGTGTGTATTGTTTAAGCCTGTCTGGCAGGGTCTGCATGTTAAGGAATGTGTGTGCACCATTGGCTAGCTCATCATTGTTGCTTTGCACTGCGTTCATCAAGTGCTTAGCGTTGATATCAGTCAAGCTGTGAAGCTAATTTTACAATGTCCAAACCAGGCTCACAAAAACACCATTTAGTCTTGCTTCCAGTTTTGCCCAGTGGCCACTCATAGTACTGAATCCCCGAATGAGCAAAAAAAAGCATTTTCCCCATAGACCACTATTGTAAAAGAGACATCTGTGAAGGCTGTTGACAAGCCACCTTAAACTGTAAACAAGGTCAATTATGACCCTTTCTATTATACATTTTGTATGCATGTGGGTTTAATATTTGTAGAACTTTGCCTGAACAGAAAAAAGCAATTTCAACATATGTGATGTCGTCATAATGTAAAGCCTATGAGCCGAGCGGGAACTCGCAGGCATGGCCAGCAGGAGAAACACTAGTGCACATATTCAGTGGGCCATACACCATGGAAGTAAACCGGAAGCTAAAAACTGTTTTTTGGGATATGCACCAGGCAAGCAACCTCATTGGAATGAATCAGCGTCATATTGGAGTTTGGTATCTAGGTATTATTATACATCCATGGCCCAAACGGTGGAATTACAGCTTCTGGTTTTGTCATGTGATGCCACTTGACCCAAAAAGACTTTTATCACCAGTAACGGCATCCCTTAACATACTCAAGACTCCGGCCCAACAGCTGATGAAACATCGTGTCCAACTTCTGGTCTACCCCCAGCTTGACCCACGAGTAAGCAGCTCAACTTTGAGCCAATGAACCCTTTTAGCATTGTTGACAGTGTTACCACCATTAGCAGTGTCAGCACAGCTAGCGGTGCTAACATATTAAACAATGCTGCAAGGGTTTTCAAAATAAACTATAAACAAACATATTCAGCAGGGTGACCTGGGGGGAGACCAGCAGCAATGCGTTCCACTGGGACGGCATTAAAAGCTGAAATTGTTGAATGAGCGGTGCCATAAGCTAACGTTAGCTTCTGTCTGACCTGGTTGGTTCACAGTGCAGAGCGGCCAAGAAACCAGTGGAGACTGGAGGCTAGGAAATGGGCATGTTTTAGCTGAACTACAGTTTCTGGTTCCATCATGTGTTTTGACTTAAAAAGACTTTAACTCATAGACTCGTGAAAGAGACAATTCTAAATCAGTGGATACATTTTTTGAGCGCCACAAGCCCCAGGAAATGACTTGTCTCACTATGGAGGCTTGCTCTATTCGGTCCAATAACATTTGAAAGTCTAGAAGAGTTGTGCGATTAAAATGATTTTATCCAAATTCAAATTAGCAGAGCACTTAAGTGGACTTTTGGGTTTCATGCACCACTGAGCAACGTTCATAGCAAAGAACGCTGTCCTGCCTCCAACGCTGTATCCACCTCTCTTTATACATCCATGGTTTCCCCCCTTTAACATCATTAGCTCTGTCAGCACTGTTGCTGTTATTTAGCACTGTTTATGGAGTTAGCCGGCACCGTTAGCTGCAAGCCTTTTGCTCAGCCACTTCCATGTTGAGAACTGTGTACTGACAACTCATATGCACTAAATTTCACATAGAGCCCGTTTAAACAACATTAAGGATTGTCACAGTTTTGCAAAATGTAGATCACTTTATCTTAATACTACGCACAAAGTCATTAATGTGTTCAAAACAAAACTCATTTGGTCATGATTTTAGACACGTATTTTGATGTATTATGACAGTCTTTACGCTTTTGAATTAAAACAATTGCTTCATGATTTTGTAATTCATGCATGAAAGGGCAAGAAAAAAAATCATATAAGAATGTTTTCACAGCTGGAAAAAAGTCCTATCACTGCTGGAAACTGACCCAGTCTTGGCATTTATGTTGTGAAAAGGTCATTTGGAGCTTGAAGCAGATTAAAACACACTCTAAGGATGTGTTATTTCACCCGTCTTCTTCTTCTTCTTCTCCTCTCTTTCTCTTCTCACCCAGAGAGAGTGTGCAGCCCATGTCCAGCCGGCTGGACACCTCAGGGAGAGAAATGTTTCCTGTTCAGTCAGGACAGGGCTGACTGGATCAGCAGCCAGTACCACTGCATGGCACTGGGGGGCGCTGTGGTCACAGTCAGGACAGAGGAGGAGCAGGTAAACTGCTTTGTCCTGTCATTGTTTACATTACATAGTCATAAACACACCCTCATACATTAACATCACATATTTCATCCATTATGTTTATTGTAAGTGTGTTTATGTGTCATCATATTTCACATAACATCACTGGAGACTGTGTCTGCCTTCTTTTTTTAGCATTCATGTGTCCTACATTGAATTTCATTGATGATATATTCTGCATCTGTCCAGTTGTAAACATTTGAGATGCTTTCCTTGAAATATCAGCTCACATCTCGACATGCATGCGCACACACACAAACCCTCAGAGGAAGAGGTTAAGAATAGATTAAAGACCTGTATGAAATATGGGGACGTCTGCTTGAGGTCATCTGGGGTTTTATCTTTCACTCTCTTGCTCTATATGTAACACAGTTTAATGCTATCCCCAGGAGAGGGAGGGGAATTCAAACCTTTTATTGACAACTTTTTCTGACATGTTTCTCAGGTGTTTCTGTGGAAAAAGGCCCGGAGTCTGAGCCAGGGAGACTCGTACTGGCTCGGCCTGAGGAGCAGCGGAGGTGACGGAGGTTGGCAGTGGAGTGATGGCTCCCCGGTGGAGCAGGGACCAGGGTGAGTGATGACAGACAGATGGAGAGGAGGAGGAGGGTTGAACGGGGATAAATGCGGCTGCTGAGGTGACAGCCACCAGACGCTGATCTCTTCCTGTAGCCTGAGAGTGCGGTCACATGTTGGTGGTTCACCCATGAGGACACACAAACAAAGGCATAGATTTCGGGGAGGGACACGCCCTCTACTAGTATTTTTTGAGTCGTTATGCAACTTTATGTGGTTTTGTGTCTCTTTGAGGTAATTTTGTGTCTCTTGCTGGTCAGTATGTGTTAATTTAGGTGACATTTTGCAGGTGAATGCCAGGGAGGCCCTGGTAGGCCCGTTAAATAATCCATCCATGATTTACAACCTGATTTAATGCAGAAAAGGCATAAAGCATAAAATTTCGCCAGAATAGAGGAAATTAAAGGAGAAGTCTGTTATTTTGCACTTTGAGCCTCATTTCTGGGTTGTTTGTTAAGACCAAAATAGTGACGATTGCTTATTTTCGGAGAATTCAGCTTCCCCCTGCCTGGCTTAACACTGCTGCCTATGGCCATGTGTGAACCTGTCCTAAAACCACCCTAAACGTTCATTTTCAAAGTCATGAAACTCACCGAGTGGTCAGTGGTGTTCGTTGATGTTCTGGCATAAAAATCACAGCAAACTGTGGTTTCCGTGATGATTTATTCGACATTTTGTGTAATCCATTGGTTTTCTATAGGAAGCCTCATTGTCTGTTGGTAGTATTCCGTCACCGGAAACAGAAAGGGGGTTGTTTACGACAAGGTTGTAGTCATTGTAGTCTTTTAGCTCAGCGAAAGTGCCGGCTCGACAGTGCTGTGTGCGCTCCTGGAGGAAGAACAATAACGAAAGAAAAAGTTTTGTAATAAGTTTAAACAACTGCACAATGGATTACTCACTTGTAAACAACCTTCCCAGTACGATGCCTTTGAACACAACGCCAACCTTCTTCTTCTTCTGCTTCTTTTCTTGTCCCATTACATTGCAATGGTTTTCTGACGGTTGGCAACACCCACGTTAAGGAGCATTATCACCATCAAGTGAGCTGGAGTGTATAACACTTCAGGGTCAAACGAACAATCAAGCGGAAGTTTACACACAGGTGTGAGGCAGCTGAAAACATAGTTCCACAATCGAGATGAATAGTAAAAAAAACCCCACAGTTTGCTACGATTTTTATGGCACATCAGTGAACCATTCGGTGAGTTTCATGGCTTTGAAAACAAACGTTTAGGGTGGTTTTAGGACAAGTTCACACATGGCCATAGGCAGCAGTGTTAAGCCAGGCGGGGGGAAGCCAAATTCTCTGAAAAGGAGCAATTGTCACTATATTGGTCTTGGCCACTCTATTTCATCATAAACAACCCAGAAATGGGGCTCAAAGTGCAAAATACCGGACCTCTCCTTTAATTTCCTCTATTCTGGGGACTACTATACTATATTATACTATCAAAATGTAAAAGATGCCCTGAGAGAAATATTTGTTTTGTGAAGAAATTAAAATGCACAATAATATGCACAAAACAGGCTTCTAAATGTACTGAGTCTGTTCAGGCAAACTTTCCTCTTGATTCAAATATAAAACTCTACTATTTTGCTAAAAACTGGGAAAGCAGAGTTTACAAATTAGTCGACCTTGAAGGACAAATAACAACAAGAAACACAATGAGGAGGTCTAGATAAGAAGCAACAGCAGGGAAAATGTCTTGAAATACAAAACAAATGCGTATAATCAGTTCGGATAAAGTAAAATTAACACTTCCTTTTTGGTGTTTGTGTTCAGTGTGTTTGTTTTGATATTATGTATTGTGCTAAAATGGCTTTTCCTTCTATTTAAATCATGACTATAGCTCACAGTACCGACAGTAACCTCTCACTTTGCATATGCTGTGATTACATGTGCCATAATGGGGAGGGGATTGAAAGACAGTGGGTGGCTGTTTTAATTTTATAATGCATTTTTATATGGAGGAGGAGTGGTTGCCATGGTAACAGATTAAAGAGTGTTTTTTTTTTCCGTTTTTTTTTTTTTTTTTTGCATCTCTCTGCAGGTTTTGGGAGCGTGAGCCCGATAAAACGGACAGCAGTGAGCTGTGTGGTCGGCTCACCCCGGGAGACACCTACAGAAGGAGCTGGTTCACCTACAGATGCTCCAACCTGCTGAGGAGAATCTGTGAGAGGAGACAAGCCTCTCTGCAGTGAACCAGACGAAAATAATCACAAAAAAAAAGCACAGCAAAGCCAGATTAGTGAAAAGCGATTCAGAGGCGTGCAGCTGACATATTTCTGCTGTTGATTTAAATTTGATAGCTGTTATATTGATAATAATAAAAAAAATACTTTTCTCACAAAATTAGTTCCTACTTGTTTCACATATTTGCTTGTTTTGCTTTTGTTATTGTTGTCTTTCTTTTTGCAGGAACCCAACCTCACTAGTCCTTATTCAAACTCCATCAAGAAGGAATAATATTTCATTTATCCTTCAGGAAATTAGGCTTTCAACAACTCAATTCCTAAATAATTACCTTTTTGTATTTAAAAAAATAAATAATTATAACAACATAACTAAAGAACAGATAACCTGCACAAGTAAATTTTAAAAAGTTAATTTTAATGTAAATATATTTTCTTTTAATAATATAGGTGAAGAGGTGATGTAAAACATTACCGTTTATCTTAACTGTACAAGGAAAAACAAAACAATGTTATAACTATTTCCAGAGATTTCAACCACATTTAAACCACATCTCAAAATGAAACTTGCATTCAGACTTTTCTTTTTCCAAGGTCAAAAATGAAGTTCAACATTCAATATTTTTGCAGAAGAGATAATATCTAACATTACTGTATGAGGTGTGTAGGCATTTTCAGTTTTGAAATTTTACTAGTTATTCTAGTAAAATAAATACGTAATGTAACTACTTTAACTACTTCATCAAAGTAATATAAATTATACATTTGATTATCTTTTAAGTACTTTTCTAATAAATAATTTAAAATGGGCAATAGAGCTGAAAGAACCCAGTGATAGGCTCTGCCAAAAGAAAGCCTTCCTACACAGCGAAGCAACAGAATGAATGTTACATTCTACATATAAACTTTCTGTCGTGAATACAGACTGTTTTAAGTGAATCTGCTTTTTTGTCTGGAACCTCCTGTCTACGACGGGGTTGAGATGCCCCCTCATCGAGGACTTGGCTCAGATTAATCTGATCTCGTTTAATTTGATGATGGGACTTTTGTGACCATATGCCTTTGCTGACGTCGACTCCAGCAGGATTTGAACCCCGGACCTTACATTTCTTCTATATTATATAGAAGAAGATTATATTTTCTATATTATATTATATTATATTTAACTACTTAATCCCGACACTCGGCATTTTGCATTAGCATGAGTCCACATTCATCATCATGATCATTGTCATTAGAATGGATTTTCATTGCTATTCTGTCTATTTTTTTTTATTAAAGACAATATCAAATATGGTTCACATCAAACAATTAGAGCAACACAAAGCCAAGTGTTACAGGCAAACAACCAAGGTTTACAAGGTTCTGATTGAGTAAGTCATAGAAAAGACTTCTGTCAAAGATGCTCCAACATCAGTCCTGGGGGTCACAAAGGTTACATATAACAGCACAGTCTTTATGGAGTTCTTTGAATGTTTGATTGCAGCAATATATTCATTGAGTTCAGTTTTGAATACTGCAACCTTGGTTTAGAACCACTGAATTTGCATTTGTAGTAAAAATAAAAGATTCGGGGCGTTGGTGGCTTAGTGGTAGAGCAGGCACCCTATGTACAAGGCTGTTGCCGCAGCAGCCCGGGTTTGACTCCAGCCTTTGGCCCTTTGCTGCATGTCCTTCCCTCTCTCTCTCTCCCCCACTCATGCTTAAGCTGTCCTGTCAATTAAAGGCTAAAAAGCCCAAAAAATATCTTTAAAAATAAAATAAAATAAAAGATTCATTATAAATCATTTTCCTACATTTTCATCTCAATGACAATTCCAAAATGAACATAAAACCGATTTGTCAAAATTTTTACAAAAAAAATTAATCAGACTAAATGTCATTTTTAAACTCTTAAGGAAATATTTTGCTGGGTAGAACTTGTACATTAATTTAAAAGTAACTTCTCTCACTTTATAAGTAATAAAATACAAGACAGGCAAAGACCACACTTTTTTCCACAGCACATTCTTTATTATACCTTTCCAAAATATGTAAGAAATTATGACAATATATCACATACTGAATTAACAACATCCCAACAATACAAATGGATCCATTTACAAGGTTGATGTTGTCAACATTGACTGTGCTGCATCATCCATGGATGTTTCCAGTCTGCAGCTGTACCTCCTCACTGTGTCCACCAGGTGGTGCTGCCCCTCTAAACATCACCTGAAAGCGACGCTCCTGTTACCCGACATGCCCTGCGAGGGAGCAACCCTTCAGACCGGAGGACACTGGGCGTTGAGATTATAGCGGAATTTCTCTGTAAAAGGTAAACAGTGTTTCTCAAGAATTACATGCCTTCTGCTTCATTAGTACGTAGTTAATTATTGTTTTTAAATTTATTTAGTTCATTCATTTATGTGTTTATCTCTGGCAGACGGGTTAGAAGTAAGAAGCATCATCACACGCTCAGTGACACCTGCCAGGCTTAGCGTTGATTTATCTATATTTATCCCTGAAGGCTAACAGTGAGCAGGCTTGTAATTGTGACGGTTGTCGTGATTTATAATAATATGTTGCCTATTTATGAACCAGTGCTAAATGTATTGTTTACAGACAGCTAATTATTAGCTTAAACAGTCGCTGTCATTAATAATAATGCACTATTCGCGGCTAATGTGTGCTAATGTGCATGAAAGCGTTCAGTTTTCAGTTCATCTATTGTACGTTATGCAGAGGTGATATGCCAAACTCCATTTGTAAAAGTGGTGTGTTTTTAATATTCCCTGTGCGAGTGCCACACACACACCTCGTAGAGCGCAATTAAAGGTATCTCACTACTCAGGAGCATCATCTGGTACATTCGGCACCCAACACATTTATCAAAACTTGCTTAGACTGAGAAAATAATTAAGTTTTAATAGTTGGTGATCAGTGCCATCCAGTGCCCCGAGCAGTGTGTTTTGAGGATTAAAAATGCCTCCTCTTGTACTGCAGACACACTTTCTTTTTGCAGGGTCCAGTCAGTGTGATTACAGTTTGGAGTGGATAACACATTTTTCTTGTCCTCTGCAGAAATCCAGCAGCTTGAAGATGTCTGAGCAGATGGAGGAGAAGATCAAGAACTACAGGACAGCTCCATTCGACGCCCGCTTCCCCAACACCAACCAGACCCGCAACTGTTTCCAGAACTATCTGGGTAAACAAGACAATTTACCTCTCTCTCATAGATCTAGTTCATAAAGTCTGGGCGCTGTCAAGGCAGTGTAAGATTGATGTGATCCTTGATGTGATCCTGTCCTTGTGTCAAGAATACTGGGCAGTTCCTCTGTTTTCACTCATATCATGTTGAATCCAACGGCAGCTTTTAACCAAGACAAGTGAAAATGGACGCAAGTCACATCTACCTCAGCTTTGCTCTAAAGCTTTGTCTGCGTGTCTTAACATATACATATTGTTTGATGATTGTGTGAATGGAGGAGCTGGGCTTTAACTGCAGGTGTAAGGTCAAACTGAAAAAGGATATTGGATATTTAATCTTGCTCCCAAAAAATCATTTGATTAAACATTTTTATACTTCGTCTTATCATATATTCTGGGATGTTTTTATCTGCAGAATATTCTTATTTTAAAAAGTAATCTAGTGAGGCTGACACACCTGACACTGACACAAATCCTGTTAAACACCTACCAAAAACCTGTCAAATTTGTCAGGTAAAAAATATCTAGACTTCAGTGTTGAAATCAAAGCTGTGTTGCAACTGCTGCCTCTGGAACTGAAAGAACACAGAGACTGAATACATTGCACATTTCTTGCTGTGTCAAAGGTCAGTATGATGTTTGTAGCAGCCAGCTGAAGAGGTGTTACAACTCTATTTCTGTCTCAGCCTTCTTCTGCATCAAATTATTATGTTTCTGCATTTTATCGGGGGGATGATTAGTGTCACAGCTCCATTTTGAAGATGTGATAGTAGCTGTATTTCAGCTTCATTTCAAGCATTTCAAGCCTCCTTGATGGATGGGCTGTTTGTTCACTCATCTTCAGCTCTGCTCCCCTTTTGATTTTCAAAGTAACATAGCTATACTCATGGAGTTTGATTGTAATTTCAACTGTATTTAAGGTACAGAAAGCGTTGATTCTTTGGGTTTTAAATAAGAATGGCTTTCTCTGATTAGCAGTCATCTCTGGGATCTCAGCTGGCTGTTTATTTCCTGCTCTGGCATCTCTTCTTTCTCTCTGTGTTCTCTGCAGATTTTCACAGATGTAACAAAGCTCTGTCCGCCAAAGACCAGGACACGGCTCCCTGCGATTGGTACAAGAGGGTCTACAAGAGCCTCTGCCCTATGAGCTGGGTAAGTTACACCAAATACTGACTGTTTTCATCATTTAAAGGAATACATCAAACCCATGTTATGTTGAATTTGTAAAGAAAATTCTTTTTTTCTCCCACGCCTCCACAATGAACCAAGGGTCCAAAAACAGAGTGATAAAATAGGTTTATCAACAGCAAAACTATATCAAAACATCCATTTACCAACTCTCAAGTAGCTCTTGCAGTATAATCCAAGTCTCATTTGTCCAGTCATATTCTCAGTACTTTCCAAACAGACATACCTTTCTGATGAGGAACTGAGCTGAAAGTCAGTGTTATCTGTAGTGATGGTCAAATGAAGCCTCATGAAGCATTTTCTTTATTTTATGAGCCCACTAGATGGCGCTCTTGGTTTAAAGAGAGAGACTCAAAGAATGGCAATTCAGTGTGCTTTCAACTTTTTGTTGAAGAAAAAGCGCTATTTAGTGGGCTCATAAGATGAAGAAAATGCTTCATGAGGCTTCATTTGGCCATCACTAGTTATCTGAGCTCTCTTTAAAGCCAGACTCCATCAACAAAACCAGTGATTTTACCTCTCCGAACACGGTCTATGGCTCCACCAGTTAGTTAGCTGGTGTTATAGCGTGACTGTGGTGTTTTAAAGGGTTAGTTTGGATTCACCAACACAGTCACATAAAAATAGTTACACAATAACACAAACAACTAACTGATCAAGGTAGTGGTAAGCTGTGTTTACACTACAAGCAAC